GAAAATCATATAAGTGGAGAGAAAGACGACGGCTTACCAACAACAACGGAGCTGCGTATCTCTCACTTCTGTGCAGAATTCCGCCACGCTTCTGGTCCTGCGTGATGGCTAATTTTCGGAAGGAGAGGTCCGAAGGAGCATATGCACATAGGAAGACCTGGAAGAGTCTGTAGTGGGCCTGATGGGCTTAGTATCTGCTGTATCAGCCCAAAGCTAAGTTGACTTTCGGGACTTCACTCAGGCCCAGCCAAATTGGAGACCCGCCGATAGCTTTTAAGGGGGTGCTTAGATTATGCTAAAAGTATACTTTTTTGCAAATCGAGACAAACTCCTCCACATATTTATTTTGTATACCGTAAAAGCACTTTTAAAATATATTTTATTTTTACCCAAACACCCCTAAATCTTTAGAAGCAGCATCCATTTGGGGACGTTGCCGTGAAAAGATCAGCGAAGCTGCAAATTATTATGGTGGGTCCTTGGATCTACTTTCCAGACGAAGAACCTTGAAAGGAATTTCATATTATACAAACCGATACTGGAGATAGGAACAGGACTTGCTCAAGAGAGCAGAAGATGAATTAGGAGCCCGAACTCTTGCTAGAATTGGAGAGCTTCGGAGTAGGATCAAGTAAAAATGGGGTTCTAATTCATTTAGTGTTGAAGAGTTTAGTCAAAGTGGAGGGAATCTCTACAAATCAGATATTGAAATTCTTGATATGATTGCTATAACGTTCCAGTAAGTAAACTAAATTATTAAAATGTTTTAGTAACAACAGAACAACCTGTAATAACTAATAACAAGTTTCAATATAAGAAACCATAACTTCTTGGTTATTATTAGAATTTCTTGATAGATCACTAAAAGAGGTAAATACGAGTGTTGTGGATTGCTTGAGAAGAAATGGGCAGTGGTGTGTGTGGTTTAATCTGGAGCGATTATCTCTAGTATACACACCAGCATGTAAATTTAGTACAGTTGATCCATAAAATAAGCCACATATGCAATTCCCAAGGGTGACAAGGCATCCAAAATTAATCAAGGCAACTTTGAATGCCAAGTTCAGGCCTCTCCATCAATTGCAATTTTTCCAGGTTTGCAAAGTAGGCGCGTCAATTTCAAATTTTCCACAACCATAAATAGGTATTGATCTCAATTTCTCACATTTATAAATGACATTGATCTCAATTTTTTAACATTTGTAAATAGACATCAATCTCAGGTTTTCCGCATTCTTAAATAGGCATCAGCCTTAACTTCCTGAAATTTCTAAACAAGCATCAAAATCAAACATCAAATGATATAATGACTGTCACTGTTTGCAAGAGGCATTTCTAAATAGGCATTAACTTTAACTTTCCCACATTTTAAAACAAGCATAGAAATCAAGCATCAAATGATGCAATGATCATCACTGTTTGCGATCACCACTGAAAATTTGACAAAGTACACGTATGGGGATTATAAAGTAGCAAATACATGGAGAGTCTAAGAGTGAAAGAGACCCCATCATTATATTTATGCATTTTAAGATGAGGAATCAAAAGACACAATGTCAATAACCCTCATAGGAGTGTATTAAATATAAAAGTTCAAATATAAAATCAAAAACTTCTATTTATACCACAAAAAAAAAACATTGTCATTTAGAAAATAAGTCATGTGTAATTTTGAAGGATGACAAGGCATCCAAAATTAATTAAGGCAACTATGAATGCCAAGTTCAAGCCTTTCAATCAATCTCAATTTCCCCGCATTTGGAAGCAGCTATTAATTTCAAATTTTCTACATTTATAAATAGACATTAATCTCAATTTTCTCATATTTATAAATTGACATTAATCTCAATCTTTTCACATTTCTAAATTGAAATCATTGAGGAACTTAGGCAGCTTTGCCATAACGATCTAGTCAAGTGAGGATTGCTCCCAAATCTTTGATAAAGACACTTATAAAAGCTCTGTTCAAACAGGCCGTCCATTATGCTCAAATCAAACTGACCACCATAAAGATTTCGGAAGACAAATACGTCAATTACTAAAATCAGTCAAAAACATCATCCTTTACACATAGGTATGTTATTATTTATTTCGTTAACAATATTTTTCAATACTTAAGGTGATAAACCCAATTTTGACCTCAAACAAACATTAAGTTACTATTATCTTATGTTCTTAATGAAAGAATTAGTTTGGGATTTGATTTGGACCTTAATTCATTTTGTCTTTTATTTTTTTTTTAAATATCCTTATTAATTATAAGGGATTTTAAAATTCAATTTTAAACTTGAAAATAGAATCCCAAATAGGCAAGCTGGCTGTGTTACCAGAACATTGACAATGGATTCTTCACCATTGATCTCCAGATTTCGAACAATTACGGCTCAAAAGAGATTCATAATTTTCAACCACGCTCGATTTACTCCTTTCAACATAATTGATTAAGTTGTCGATTGGAGAGATCTTGGCTTTGATGCACTATAATTAAAAAAAGACATCATTATGTTGTGGTTTTCAGAACTTCCACAATGAATTCTCGATCCATCCTTCCCCCAGCAAACTAGAAAAATCTTGAACCCAAAGTTATCCAAAATTTTCATCACATTAATTCTCTCCCCTAAATATATTAGCTTGGATACAAAATGTTCGTATCTTTCTCGAATCTGAATCCTAGTTCGCTACATACTGACTTCTTCTACTGAACTTAGTCCTTCTCGATTATTCTTTCCCCTGAACTTTTCAGCCCCTGTCGATCATTCTCTCTTCTGGGGCTGTTCAAGCTGCCAAATTCTCAATAAATCTGGGCTTTAAAGTATTCATGACCGAAAACTGGATTATATAGACACTACGTCCGCTATTTAGTATAAAAAACTAATTTAAACATATTAAAAAAATTAGTTAAGTTAGCTATTTATAATAAATATGTGCTGTCTTTTTAAAAATACCATTACCAATCATCTGTATTAGTTAGAACTACCATATGATGGAACATTTAATATATGCAACTACTACATAAATTACTTTGGAAAAGAATAGATACATATACATACATATATATATATATATAAAAGAAACAAAGGAGATTAGAATTTTGTATTTAAGATTAAATTAAATGTCAAATTAGCTCTTATATTAAGGATTGGAGATAGTATAATACTACTTCCGGTCCTAATTATAAGAGTTAGTTGACTAATTTTAGGAGATTAAGGAAATAAGTTAAATTAGTTATTTGTAATAAATAGGTATTGCTTTTCCTAAAATATCCTTGCTAATCAAGTGTATTGGCTACAACTATTATTATGAGAAGGACTACCTTGGGAAAAAATGTACAAATATGAGAGACAAAGTGGATTGGAATCTTATATTTAGAACCAAAATAAAAGTTAAATGAGATCTTATATTAAGGACCGGAGGTATTATATAACTAAATTATCCGCCCTTTATTCCTTTTTTCTTTTTTAAACCAGATATCCGCCCTTTATTCACATAATATTTTTGGGGATAAAAAGGAATTAAATGGCGTTATTCGTTTGTTCATCTTTGCATCTTCTGTTGATCACATTATTATGGGTGTCTAGGGTAAAACTAAATTGATTGAATCCACTCTTTTCGTTTTGGTTTATGATCGATTGTGTTGTGATCAAATCCACTGGATTAAAATTTAAAATTGATTGAAATATAAATGATGAAGTCAAAATTAAATATTGTCCCAAAAAACAAAGGTCAAATTTAAGTCTACGTATGTCAAATGTCAATAATAGCCAATATTAGTTGGACTAATATTTTTTAGGTATATTAAATCAAAGTAACTGTGGTGTATTTTAAAAAAAACAAAATAATTAACTGTGAGATAAATTTTTTTAGGCATACACGGTGAGTGTTTTTAAAATGATTATTGAAGAAACAAGAATAATTGGACTAATATTTATCTGGTATTTTGAAGATTGTTTTTTACTGTCATTTAGAGAAAATTTCTTTAATATATTATATTAAAAAAATAGTCCGAAATATCGAAGTAAATTAAAAAGGATTCAATTGGATGAAATTAAAAATAAAAATGAATTTAATATATTATATTAAAAAAGTTTATGCAATGTTTTAGTTTGATGTTTTGAATGATAATTTTTTATAACAATCATAATTACTTTAAAAATTAAACTTAAAATATTAGTATTTGAAAATATTTTATCAACATTCACGATTTCAATATCATTATTTTTTTAACAGTTTTATGATTAAAAAACTAAAAATATATTTTTTTAAATTAATGAACCAAACCAAAATCTTATATAAAGTTACAGGATTAAAAGTATATTTTAGTAAAAAAATATACGGTAAATGTTATTTTGAGTTTTTTTATTGTCAAATGCTATTTTTTTAATGTTGTGTAATTAAAAAATATTTTTTAAATAAATATATGGAGATAAAACTAATTTAATAAAAAAAAATCGGCATGTGTATTAATCACCAATATTAGTTGGCATATGTTTGCTAATCCATTTTGGCAGAATTTTGGTTTTGACCCTACTCCCATAATATTTTGGTCAAGGTCATGCTTTGCTAAAATTGAAGTGGAAGATTTCCCATTTGAATTTCCTTAAAATAGATTAAATTTCAACATTGTAGGTAATAAAATCCACCCCCGGGGGGGGGCTATAATTTTTGCTGTCTAAGCTAGTCTTTAATCATTAATTTAGTGTCTAATTTTGACTTAAAAACACAATCTAATCACTAGAGTTTCTTGAGTTGAAATAATACAATATCTACAATTTGTTAACTTAATAAACTACCATTTCAAGGGAACTAAATCAACAATTGAGATAAATTTTATCAAAAGTTATATTTTTTCTAAAATTAAATTAAGAGACTTACCTAATCAAACCTATTAGTTATGATTATGATTACCTAGTGGATTTTGGTTTTGGGACCACAAATCTATTAGCCACTAAATCTAAATCTATTATCCTAATTACTGTCTCCCCACCAGCCTGAAAAAGATATGTCCACTGTCAGTAAGATATGTATTATGAAACTCATAAAGCATGAACATTTTGTACCAATGTCTCTGTAAATTACACTGAACAACCATGGCTTTGTCATGTGTAGGGGAAGTGTTTGCCATTTTTGTATGAGACAGAGTTCTGTACTGTGTAAATCAGTCCTATGAGGACTAATCATACTTCTCTCTCCATGAATACACAAGAAAGAAGACCCACGAAACTGCCAATGCCAGGTCTCCGATGGCTTGTCTGGGCCAGTCACGGGCCAGATCTTCAACCTTCCTCAAGAATCCAAATCTCCATACCGCCATGGAAATGTGAACAGCGATGCATCCTTTTGCGAAGAAGCTCTGAAACTCTCTGTCCTTCGCAAAAGCCACCATGAATAGCATGAATCCGATAGTGAACAGGAGTAATCCGGAGAACGAATCGGAAGTTCGAACTAGCAATTGATCGTGAGGCGTTGATCCTTGAAGCTTTTTCGCTGTCTCGCTGCCGTGGCTGAACTCCGAGATCTCCTCGGAGAAGAAAATCATGAGTGATCCGCAGGTTAGGGCTATCGCAGAGTGCAGAAGACAGATCAGAAAAAAACCGGGAGAAGCCATCGATCAGGATTAAAAAAAGAAAAAAAATCTCCAGTAAGATTCGGATACTCCAAATTAACCTCGATCAAAATGTTTGAAGCATCGATTAAATAGTCATGTCGTGCTTGATTCAACAAACCTAGCTAAAATTTACTGATGGATCTTCCAAACAAATCGATAGAGGTCATTCTTCCACTAAGGCTGGAACAAGAAAAACCAGAATACATGGCCATGTCTGTACTGTATCGTGAGGTACAATACTATAGCATTTGAAATTCGAAGCAGTAGAGAATCTAGATATCCCCGTGACCAAAACAAACAAACAATCAAAAAATGGACAGAACCCTTTCCTCAGCAATTTGAACAAGAAAACTAGGAATTGCTAGAGACGAAGATGTTGTGGAAAGATATGATGCAGATCTGGAACGGCAGGTACATGTAGCACTTACTACTTATAGAGAAAAGAATAAATTATGAGATTTGGATCTGCATAGGATGCAAGTTGAGTGATATGTTATCAATTGCATATGTAGAGATTGCTTTCATGATCATGAACCCACCAATCCCCATATGCACAAAATGCCATGCTTATGCTAATATGGCTCCTTCTTTTCTTGTTTCTATGAGGAATATTGGCGTGGGTCAAGGAAATGGGTCTGCATAACTGTTTACTTTAAAAGATTATTTTCACATCATTGTGTTGAAATGGAATACTTTGGCTTTCCTGGTAGGGCCCTGGGTTTTCATTATCCAGTTGCCCTTCTTAGACTATATGATTTTTTTTAACTTTATGTGATTTCACGTCTTAATCTTGAAGGGGATGACTTGATTTCGTGTTTGGATAAGTATAGCAGAAAAAATTTCAACCTATCATCCCAAATTTTTAATACTTTCCATTCACCTTAATCTTAAAGGCAATGACTTGATTTGCTGTATGGATAAGTATAGCCGGTAATTTTCCACCGATCATCACAAATTTTTAATAACTTCTGTTCAACATAATTGCGTATGAGGATGAGAAAGTGACAGTGATGGGTCAGATTTCCTCCTCTTCATCATTCTCATTCTTTTGCCCTCCTTGTTCTTATTAACTTAACCATTTAAATTTTGGGTCTGATTGTTATCTCACTGTATGGGTGTATTCCACCTTTTTTTTTTTACATCCCTAATCTCACAGTCACAGGGGACCCTTTTCACCTGAATTTACAGTTTCACGAAACTGACGCATCCATCTGATATTTATAATAGGAAGGAACAACCAAAAAGAAAAGAAGAAGATTCAGAGGAGAAAAAGCCAGAAAACATGCCGACTATTTCGAATCTCCAGGTCAGATTTGTGATATTCTATGAGGAAGGTTGCTTTTTGATCTGAAGAATATTGAGACTCTTTTGTTGTTCTGCAGACCCACCCAATGACAAAACTATCCAGTCGCATCGCACACAAAATTTGAAATTCTATAGATAAAGAGGAAAAAGTCATCATGGGGTTTTAGTGATTTGTCCCACACAGCTAATTGGAGTGGAAAAATTGACTCTTGCTTTTGAAGACAGAGCAACGGCTAAAAAGATTCATCTTATAGCTATCATTCATATAGTAATGGAGAGTGATGTTCTTGAATTAAATATTGTTCTCTTCCCCTCAAGATACTGATTGGCTTGAAATTATAAGTGATATCAAGCCCTCTCATTTACAGGAAGCTTCAGTCATCCGTTTTAACAGCTAGATAATGGTGCTGCTCGTGACCTGTCCTGTTTTGTAAATTGGATAATCTATCATTATGCATTATGTGATATATTTAAAAGAGGACCTAAAATATTAATTAAATTATATATGAAATGATGAATATTTTATTTTTTTACACATATAGTTTTTTTTTCCTTATTTTATGTCGACTACTATATATATAAAATCAATTAACTCCATGGGTTCTGCTCACGGTTGCTTGCTTCAGGGCCAGCACAACTTGCAACCAAGCACGTTCTGCAATTAATATCTGTGTGGAAAAATCGTTGTGTAAATTGCATGTCACAATCCATCTCTGGCATGTATAGTGGGAGGCCACATATTAAATTCCTTTACCAGATGTTCTCTCATATCTTCACGTATATCATTGAGTAATCAGGATCAATACTAGTAATATACATAAAAAAATATAAGTTTTATCCTACTAGATGAGATCGACTTCATGGAGGATCATATAATGTTACTACTTTCGGTTCTTAATATAAGATCCTGTTTGACTTTTATTTTGATCCTAAATATAAGACCCCAATCCATTTTATCTATCATATTTATGTATTTTTTCCAAGATAGTCCTTCTAATAATTGTAGTCCTAGTTAATATAGTTGATTAGTAAGTATATTTTAAGAAAGTCAACATCTATTTATTACAAATAACTAATTTAACTTCTTTTTTTAATCTCCTCAAATTAGTCAATTGAGTCTTATAATTAGGACAAGAGGTAGTATTGTATTCTGTCAAAAAGCTAAATTCTTAAATAGAATGTTAACAAAAAGACTTTGTTCAATCACAACATTAAGTGTTTTTGGTTATCTTTCTCTATTTCTCTTTAGAGAACTTTATATTATTTGATCCACTCCCCTCGCTATTGTCTTCAATGGCTTTTTTTGTGTATGTTTGTATCATCTCAAATGATTTTTAGCTATTTTCTTTTCAATAGGCGTCATGTCTAATTTTCCTCTGTTATGGTCTCAATACTAGTATAATATATGATATAAAAATTATTAAAAAGAAAGAGATATTATTCATAATTAAGAAACAACAATACAATTCATCTTAAACTAACAAACTTTGCATAATGTTTAAGAAAATGTATTTAATTTTCTCCAGGAAGTAATTAGGTACAAAAGTTGGATTTATTCTAAACAAATTTTAAAATCACTTAATCAATATTGACTCGTGAAGAAATCTACTCGTTGTATTATTGAGAAATCACAAAAGGATATAAGAACTGGGATTTAATATTTGGAAAAATCCCAAAAAAGGTCCTTGGAATATGGAAAATGCCAGATTGAGTCCTTAAATTTCGAAAATGACAGAATGGGTCATTGACCCAATCTGTCATTTGTGAAATTCAGGCGAATTGACAATTTTGCCCTCATTTATTCATTCACTACAATGATTCAAGGAATCACTATAAGAGTTTAGGTGTTACCTAGATTCGTATAGCGAATAACTATTCACTTTTTCATAGTCAGGTGTCTTGTTATTAACTACAACTAATGCTGTAATCACTAGAACAATGTAAGCATTACCTAGATTTGTGTAGAGAATAACTACTCATTTTTTCATAGTCAGGTATCTTATTATTGTCAGGTACCTTATTATTAACTACAACGAATCTTGTAATCACTAGAACAGTATAAACGTTACCTAGATTTGTTTAAAGAATAACTACTCACTTTTGCTTAAGGGCAAAAATGTCAATTCGCCTGAATTTCACAAATGACAAATTGGGTCAATGACTCATTCTGTCATTTTCGAAATTTAAGGGCCCAATCTGGGATTTGATATATTCCAAGAGCTTTTTCTGGGATTTTCCCTTAATATTTTTCGTGACAAATTGGCAGATAAATGAAAGCGATGAGCCTCAAGATGGCTCTGTGGCTGTTGTATTTCAAAGACTTCTCTTTCAGGCCAAAAAAAGAAAAGAAAGACTTCTCAAGGTATAAATGCTCTTTTATGTGTGAGCCTTGTCTGAAGTGAATCAAGAGGTGCTACTGTTGGATCTAGAATATTTCAATACAAATACTTCGTTGAAAAAATATTTAATAATTCTAAGCTCAGTGCCGACGAGGATTATACCCAAAATCATTTGACTGACCCTTAATGGATCTGAGTTTAAATCATTGTCGCCTGCTTTTTGAAAAAGAGAACAATTTTTCAGCATGGGATTTTAACTTGTGACTTGTGAAATAGTAGCTTCGGTACTTACATAAGACCTCATTTAACTTTTATTTTGATCCTAAAAATAAGACCACAATCCAATTTGTCTCTCATATTCATTCATTCTTTCTTAATATAATCATTCTATTAATAGTAGTTCTAAACAATAAACTTAATTACTAAGAATATTTTTTAAAAAAAATCAACTATTTATTACAAATAACTAACTTAATTTATTTTTTTAATCTATTCAAATTAATCAACTAGTTCATATATTTAGAACCAGAAATAGTATCAAAGAAGCCATTCAAATACTTTCTTAACATCTGATTTTTTTTTGTCAGCATAGTTATCTTCTTATTAGAAGTAATTCTATTTGAGATACTATGGAGCATTAAATATAAATATTTTTTAATAGGAATTTAAATAATTTCTTTCTAGTTGACCCAACTCCCATTAATCTGAACATCTGATTTGAAATAAAAGAGCATCGTCTATAATTGAATGGGTCAAATAGTTTACCCTAAAAAGTGGGCCTTAAATAAAAGCCCCAAAAATTAGAAAGGAAAAGAAAAAACAGTCAACTGGAAGTTGATGCCAGAATTCTGTCTGTACGTCACTGCTAGTTCTGCTCTCCCGAGCTTCCCTGCCACAATTTTACTTCATCCGGAGAGACAGATATCGGCAATTTTATCAAAATACTATACACAGTAAAAATAATTAGCCGTGGGAACTATTTATCCATATATTATCTCTAATTTTTAATATAAGATTTTATTTAATTTTTATTTTATTCTAAATATAAGACTCAAATTCATTTTATCTTTCTTATTTATACTTTTTTTTAAGATAATCCTTTTAACAATAGTAGTTCTAGCTAATACACTTAATTAGTAAAGATATTTTAAGAAAGAAAACACCTATTTATTACAAATAACTAACTTAACTTCTTTCCTTAATCTTCTCAAATTAGTCAACTAGTTTTTATAATTAGGACTAGATGTAGTATTAATTTTCTTATTTTTCTCCAACACCTATTCTTATTTATTTTGTTTTTGTTTATTTCTAAATGATTTAAGGTAACATGACACTCTCACTGTGAAAGAAGAGAAAGCTCTAGTAACAGGACACTTTTATAATGATAGTTTTTGGTGTTTGTTTATTACATTATTTGAAGTGATTTTGTCAACCTATTAAGTTTTAAATATTTTATACTACCTCCGGTCCTAATTATAAGAGCCAATTGACTAATTTGAGAAGATTAAGGAAGTAAGTTGAGTTAGTTATTTATCCTAAATAGGTGTTGTCTTTCCTAAAATACCCTTGCTAATCAAGCGTATTGACTAGAACTCTTATTATTAGAAGGACTACTTTAGAAAAAAATATATAAATATGAGAGATAAAGTGGATTGGGATCTTATATTTAGGACTAAAATAAAAGTCAAACAAGGTCTTATATTAAGGACATGAGGTATTATTTATTTAATTTATTTATACATTTTCATATGATGAGATGGGGTTTTTAACCGTAATTTCCTCCAAAATTCACAAGACACAGGGAGGAAGTTAATAAATTGGGTACTTGGTTGTAATTTTCGTCAAAAATGAAAATGGAGATAGTTGAACTCGTTCTTAGCCTTAATGAGTTTCTTTTTTTACTTTAAAAGCATAGCTGTCGGAGTGAAAATTCATCATGGTGTGAACGGGTTTTAAAAAGATGTAGTAGTATATAGGTAAATAGTTCTCACAATATAGTATTTAGGTAATTATTTTTACTATGTATAGTATTTTGATAAAATTGCCGACAAATATCAGGCAGTGCATTAGCCAACAACAAATAAAAATAAAATACAAATAGATTACAATAAGTTCACGGTAGTTGAACTGTAGGCTAAGGTGTCGTATATTAATTCTATCCTGAACAATACAAGACATCGTTAGGATAATATAAAATTTTAATTCATTTTACTTCTCATATTTTTTATTATTTTTAAAACTAATTTAGCTAACTTATAAACTAATTTAATCTAATATCATATGGATTTGGCCTCTCTAAGTTTATATGTAAGATTATTTTAAGCAGATCTTATCATATTTATTAATATTAAATAATTTATTTAGTTTTCTTAATCTATTCAAATTAATTAAGGAGTTTTTATTGTGCAAGAAAGGGAAAGAGCATCAAAGTTGAGTGCTATATATTGCCTCTTTGATTTAGATACTAAGTTACATTGAAACACAGGCTCTGTTCTGCCTTTGTGCTGTTTTTATTTTTTAAGGCCAATTCTAACTTTGTTTTCTTAGTGCTAACCCTGAAGCCTTTATATTTAAATAGAATTAAATGCATGACTAGGATTTCTCTAAAAAATAGTACCACCTCTAGTCCTAAGTATAAGTATAAGATGCAGACAGTGCAATTATGAACTAAATCTTATGTTTAGGATTAAAGATAGTATTAGATACATTAATATATATATATATATATATATATATATAAAGGAGATATTTTCTTTCTGGGGACAAAAAGAGGATACAACTTTCAGCTACTTTATCAAGAATATTTGCTTTGGGTACAAGGAATCTCATAGGGAGGGAACAGTAAGGGTGAGGGAAAAAGGTTGAGCCTTTTGGCTGAGAAACCTTTTTATTATGTGTGAGAAAGATACCCTTGGGAGTTTAAGTGGTAATCATAAGGTTAGTTGTAAAAACATGGTTGAGCCCACTTTAATGATCATAATCTTCACTTAGAACTTCAAGAATCTGGCGCTAGTATATTAGTACCAGTACTGCTAGTCTTGAACCTAATGATGCTTATCCTGTGACCCGAATCATTCTAATTTGAAGAAACCCATGCCACTCACAACAATATCTGCGTGACATATCATTAAGGTTTCTACCTTTTGCACATGCTGCCTCCTCAAATTTCTGGTACACTTGTCCTTCTCAACTTAACGGGTCTCAGATCTCAAATTTTTATTTTGTAATGTAAATTATATTAAAAAAGACAAGTCTTATACTACATCCGGTCCTAAATATAAGAGTTAATTGATAAATTTGAGAAGATTAAGAAAATAAGTTAAGTTAATTATTTGTAATAAATATATATTGTCTTTTCTAAAATATCCTTGTTAATCAACTATATTGACCAGAACTATCATTATTAAAAAGAATATCTTGAAAAAAAAGGCATAAATATAAGAAACAAAGTGGATTGATGTCATAAATTTATAACTAAAATAAAAATCAAACAAAATCTTATATTGAATACCGGTGATAGTATTTAAGACAGGAAGAATAACATTTATAAAGGCGTCTAGAAATTATCCATAAGTGAATTTCTCATATTGGCAACAAGGATAAGACAATATATTGCAATTTTACATGTGTAAGTGATCAAGTCAAAATCAATTAAATTTTATAATAAAACAGATTTTCCCATGAAATTATTTTGAATTAAATTATTTGCGATCAAATCCAAACCTTGGCGTGGCATGAAAGTACATGCGCTATCTATCAAAAAAAAAAAATTATATCCCAAAGCAAATGTAGTCTAAAAGATGTGCCTGGTCAGGATTTTCTACTAGGAACATGTCCAATATCTCCAAATGAAGCTTGCAAATTACTCTCTCATTTTGCCTGATATCCAATCTAATGATTCTACATCGTGTGCTTAGGAATCTCCGCTCATAATTAACGAACTCATAATCACCAAAGGGACACGCATAAAAGAGGATTTGGATCCTCAATCCTATAAACTCTAGAGTTAATAGCATGTCTCAGACTCGTTTAATTCAAACGACACTTGGCATCTTTTCATATCATCATGTTTAAACATGAGGTGGCGTATGTGAGCCTCCCTGAGCACAGATTTGATTTTGCGTCCTCAGGCCCCATAGAAGGAGGCTGGCAACTTGAATCACTAGATTCAAGGGTCTTGGGCAAAATATAATCCTTATCAGTTATATACCTTTCCGCTCCATAATATTATCTCCGGCTCTTAATATAAGATTTTGTTTAATTTTTATTTTAAGTTCTAAATATAAGACCCCAATCCATTTTATCTCTCATATTTATACTTTTTTTTCCAAAACGGTCCTTCTAATAATAATAGTTCTAGTCGATACACTTGATTAGCAAGGATATTTTATGAAAGAAAACACCTATTTAGGACAAATAACTAACACAACTTACTTCTGTAATCTCCTCAAATTAGTCAACTAGTTCTTATAATTAGGACCAGAGGTAGTATAAGACCTAATTAACTAATTTGAATAGATTAAAGATGTTAGTTAAATTAGTTAATATGATACATATTTTTTTAAAACATTCTAAGCATCTTCTTTAATTCTCTCCTTTCATCTCTTACTTGATTGTTATTAGGAGAATATCAATAGGGTTAATCTAAAAATTTTTTTGCTAAATATATATAAGTCTTAGATATAAGACTAACATTAACTTCATAATTAGCTCTTATATTAAAAATAGAAAGAACACTAAACTAGAATACAATAGTAATTTTTGCTCTCTTTCAAAGTCCTCGTTACCCTTATTAAATATGGAGATATATGAAAGAAAAATATTTAATGTTATCTAAAACTATCAAATTCTTCATAAAAAGATTTTTTTAAAAAAAAAACACTTCAAAAAGATGCCCTACATGCAGTTAGAGTGAGTATTTACTATTTACGCATGAAAAAATCTCACAAAAAAATCTAAAAATTTTTAAATCTCAAATTTATAAATAGTACTAGAGTACTACCGTTGATACAGCAAACGTTAATTATTAGACAAGGTGAGGCATCCAATGTGAGGCTATTGGATTGAGAAAAGCTGTTGTGTCTGTGAGCTTTTTGACCAACTTAGGAGTTAGGATTGTGAAAGATTTGGGGGTTTGCTAGAGATGAGGCAACAGGGTGGACCCTTATCGGGGTAGCCCCCTCCTCAAAAGGTCCCACCAACCTCAACACATTGCTTCGGCCAAGAAGGCAAAGATATAAATTCATGCACAAATGATTAATTAGATAACTGTTCATTATTTAATGGTCTATGTGGCTTCCCTTCACGATGTTCCCATTTCTGCTTCTATTGTCCCAAATCCTACTCTCTAGTATCTTTTCTTGTCCTAGTTTTCTTGTTCTCTTTTCTTTTCCCTTTTTTTTTTTAAATCTGGGTAATACTGAGTTATCTTTTAATACTTGCATGTTCATTAGAAGTAGTGTTTTAAGCATATTTTTTTTTACCTATAGGCTTCATACTCTTGACCATGTTTAAGAAAATTGTCAGGAGGACTAAATCATCATTAGTTTGCTCTTTCTCTCACTTTGTTTGAAGAAAGATTAGATAAATTGAATTTCAGAGAATATTAGTGTTGCGATGTTTATAAATATACTCTTTCGGTCCTTAATATAAGACTCATTATTAAGTTAGTTTTGGTCCTAAATATAAGAATATTTATCATATTTATCAATTTTCTTTAAATTATCCTTATGGATGCCCCTTGAACCATAATTAAGTAGAAGAGGAAGATGAGGTATTAAGAAAGATGGTTATGATATTTTAGGAAAAACGTGTCACATTTCTTACAATTAACTAACTTACCTAATTTCCTTAATTTAATCAAATTAGTTAACTGGGTTTTATATTAAGAACCAGAAAAGTACTAACATATTACTATCTATTATCAAACGAACACATTAATTATGGGATTTGAGCAATACTCAATATCTTTGTAAGTATGAGCGGCATGGCCGCATCTTTATAATTAGATTAGTTTTTATTCGCAATAAAAGACCCTCCATCTTGTCCTAAATTTAGTAACTAATTCAGAGAGTTGCTTTGGTTTTTAAATACTTTTTCTCAGTTCTTAATATAAAATCATTTAATTAATTTGATTATATTAAGGAAGTTAGGTAAGTTAGTTAATTATAAGAAAAGTGACACATTTTTCTAAAACCCCATAATTATCTTTCTTAATACTCCCTCTCCATCTTCTGCTTGATTATGGTTGAAGGAGTGTCTATAGAAGTAATTTAGAGAAAATTAATAAATATAAGAAATGGGTTTTATACTTAGGACCAAAACCAACTCAAGAACTGGGTCTATATTAAGGACCAAAGAAGAGGAGTATAATATCTATCTATTTTATCTCATAATTTTATAATTTTTTCCTTGAACAATCCAATACAAATGATTAACTGAGATATTTTAGCAAAACTAACATATATTTTGTTTAAATAATTAATTTAACTATTTTTTTAAATGTTTATAAATTAGTTGTCCGACTCTCACATTTAAAATTAGAAGAGTTTTATTTAGACCCGTTTAGATTGGTGTATGTTACAAGCGAGTGGTTGGGATTTGATTTCTAGCTCTCATGTGCGAACCTAACTTATTGTTTGTTAGGAGGGAAATTGGGGAAGAAAAAAAAAAAAGAGAGGAAAATTTTTTTAATAAGCTTAATTTTGAAAAATTGAAAGAGTGGAGTTAAAAGTTTTTAATTAAATTTCTCCCTTTTATCTTGTATGTTCTTTTATTTAAGATTTCATGATCTCATTTCTTCAATTTTTTAAACTGAGTCTATTAATTTTTTTTTTACTATTTTTTTCTCTCTGATTTCCTCATGCCGAACATAAGATTAAAGAGGTTAGGCTATGCAATAAATGAATATACGAAACCCTTGATCCCACGCAAAAAGGCCAAAAAAAAAAATCCTAGCAACAAAGGTATGACGATGTAATTCAGATACTTGCAAGAGTGTGGACTCAATTTTTGCTGTTAATTATTTATAGTATAATTTATATTATAAAATGAGTTTTACATTTAAAATTAAAAAAATATGAAATTTTTATTAATAAATATTTATAAATACTTTTGTAACCACTGCCTGGTCAGAAGCATGTTTTGTATTCAATCGTTTTCTGGTGACACTCATTCTTAAAAGAGGGGAAAAATCTTTGCTGCAGCTCATCCTCAACACTAAGCAATTTATCTTTTAACTATGTTAATAAAAAATCTTCAAAATAAGAACGGTTAGTATTATTTTTGCTCTTTATAGTTGGATCAAGTTTTAATTTTCTTCTTTGTATTCTTAAATAATTGGTTTTAGTTAATATAGAGATTGAAACTAAAATTTGTTATAAGTATAAGGACCATTTGTTAAAGTCAGACCAAAATATTATGAAACTATAAATGATAGTGATTAAAACCAACTATTTGAAAATATGAGAATCAAAATAAAAAAAATTTGATCAAACTATAAGTACTGACAATCATATCAACCCAAATGAAAATCATTTGCACAACATTAAAAATATATTCCACAATTACACCCGTTAAAAATAAGTTGTACCAATTTAAATTTAGACTTTTTTAGTGAATAAAATTTTGGAAAAATTGCAATAAGGTCATATACAAGATAATTAAATATAAAAATATCCCTTAAAATCATTAAATTATTTTAAAGTCTTAAGAGATATTATTGCAAAAAATTTTATTTTTTAATTACCAAATTGTTCTTTTTTTTAATTATGTATTGACAACTGAAAAAACAATAGTTAATAACTTAAGATATAACGATTGACGGTTATCGTGACATGAATTAACAACATATTTTCTCAGTGCCTTACAAAAATGTAATGCATGAGTTGTTAATATCTGTCATAATAGTTGTTAATTATTATATTTTAAGTTGTTAATGACTGCATTTTCAGTTATCAATGTATATCTTTTTTTAAAAAATACAGGTAATCTGATAATTAAACAAATAAAATCCTTTGCAATGAGGTTTCTTAGAATCTTAGAATAATTTGATAATTTTAAGGTATTTTTTGTATTTAATTGTCTTGAATGAGATCTTATTATAATTTTTCTATAATTTTTAAACAAGTAACTTAATAATTTTTTTCCCGCAAAACCATTATTGGTTTAGAAATAACAGAAGTCATGCAAGACGATTACGACAGGAGTAATGTTGAAATAATAAAGTGCTACAGACTCTAATCTTCGTGTTAACAAGAGAACCTGAAAAGGGAAAGAGATGGGAACCAGTCATGTAAGAAGAGCGATCGCCCAAAAGTGAAAGAGACAGGACAGAGGCGTTTGTTTGCCTAAGACGATAATACTACCTTCACCTTCAATCTTAACTAAAAAAAAGAATTAATTGATTAATTTAAGTAAATTAAAAAAATAAGTTAAAATTAGTTATTTGTAATAAATATGTATTGTCTTTCTTAAAATATTTTTAATAATTAAGTTTATTGATTTTATCTTAAAAAATAAATATATATAAAAGACAAAATGATTAGAATTTTATATTTAAAAACTAAAATAAAAATTAAATAAAGTCTCTATTAAAAAGATTAGAGATAATATTAAAAATATATACTGAAGGAGCGACGTGGGGCGCAGGATGAGAGAAGAGAGGGGATCCAGGACCGTTGGATGAGGGGGGGATGGGGACCACATACCCAGTTTTTCACGGTGGGGAGTGAATGGGGTAGGATGGTAAATTCAAATTCTGCCACCTAACAAAATTTATGAAATTAACTGATAAGGCAGTGGAAAAGCCAACGACTTTGAATGACCTAAACCATCCTCCCTTCTTTCTCCCTTCGTACCTCACGCTGCCTCTCCTCCCCCACGCGCCTTTCAGACTCTCCTCTCACACGCGCTCCTCATTCTCCCACTAACTTTTCCTGTTATCAGTAATTTTTTTCCGCCCATAAAGTAAATATCCTATCTTTACGGGCATAGCAAGGGCACTTTAGTTTACACACCACATGAATTCCCCCAATTAGTAGGGATCTCTTTTGATAAGTACTACTCCTCCGGTTCTAAATGTAAGATCCTTATATTCACTAGTATAAGGGTCTTACATTTAGGACCGGAGAAGTACTATTAACTTAATTATCTTTCTTATCTAGTTTCTATCATGGATTCATGGCCTTATAATTTAACATAATTTATTTTTCTACCATTAGAAATGGTAGATCCATGCATGATGTGTTTAAATGACCAGATAGTTCAATAGAATTGATCCTAGATGATCATATATCAGTTTAGCTCAACTAAAATATATTATTAATATTAATATTAATATATTTTCATTTTTTAAATCTAATTCTATATACTAAGTTGGCAAACTAGCTCAGCTATACAAAATCAGGCATTGGGCTTGATACTTGATAGTTAACCCATTTTTCAGGTACCTTTATTTTATACTCAGGGCGGTCTAAATAAAAAACTAGTTCCTATTTAAGGAGATTATGGAAATAAGTTAAGATAGTTATTTTAATAAATAGATGTTGTGTTTTTTTTCTAAAATATTCTTATAAATCAAGTTTATTGGTTAGAATTACTATTATTAGAAGGACTATCTTGAAAAAAAATATAAATATGAGAGACAAGGTGGATTGAGATCTTATATTTAGAATCAAAATAAAATCAAATGAGGTTTTATATTAAAGACCAGAGGTAATATTAAGTTTAAAATAAGTTACAATTTGTGAATAATATGAATTCATATAGATTATATATAATACAAAATTATGAAAAGTCAATAATTATGCACATTAAGGGTAAAGATTATCCTTACTTGACTTTTTTTTTAAAAAAAATGTACTTCCGCCGGTCCTAATTATAAGAGCTAGTTGACTAATTTAAGGAGACTAAGAAAATAAGTTAAGTTAGTTATTTGTAATAAATAGAGTGTTTTTTTTCTAAATATATTTGTTATCAAGTGTATTGGCTAAAATAATATTATTAGAAGGATTACTTAAAAAAAAAATATATAAATTTGAAAACAAGTGGATTGGGGTCTTATATTTAGGATCAAATAAAAATCAAACAAAATCTTATATTAAGAACCAGATATTTTAATCTTAAAACACAACTGTGGAATTAATAAAATTATAAATTGACTGATGACTGATTGAAGACAGAGTTGACAGGAGAGTCAGGTTTTTTTTTTGGACAAAACCGGAGGGTCACCTGCAAAGTTTTCATAATAAACATAATATTAATCTGGAAGAAAAATAATTACACAACTACTATTTGATATTCTTTGATAGCTGATATGGCTGTATTACTAAAATAATGATCCTTGGGTGTTAGAAGGACAAAATATATATGAAGTAAAAATAAATAAATTCTCTGGGTCACAAAACATACAGTGACTACATCACTGAAGAAAAAAACATACAGTAAATAATTTAAACAGCTCAAGTCGGCTAGCTGCCAGAAATTTAATGGACAGATGTGAGTTTTGTGAAGTTTTATAATTACTCGTTTTGAACTTGGTAACAAAACATTGAAAAATTTATTTTTTTTAACTATAATTTAATCATCAAAATGAAAATACATGATAGAGAGTCATGCATATCAAAATTGGGATGCATGGATCGTGAAAAATATTTTTCATAAAGGAATTTTCTCATCCGTTTTTAGGCTGAAAAATTTTCTCAAAACTTTAATTCAATGGACGACCTAAGAAAAGTAATTACCAATTAATGTCTGTCATAAAAAAGTGGCAATTATTGGCATATACCTCATCCTTTCCTAAGCGCGTGGCCTTATGGTAAGAACAAGAATGTCTTCATGCACTGAGTTTCGCTTCACAGCTTTTCTCTCTCTTCACTGAAAGCTGCAGCCTGCAGTGCTGGGGACACTCCTCTTCGCAACATAAATAAGCGCCGCGAGAGGCTATATTTACATGTTTTTAATTTTTTACTACTGCCAACATTAATTTATCTTCATTGAATTAAATATATAAAATAATTTTTATTGTGTTACTGGCATCTCTTCATCTTCCAAATACACAAGCTCGGGTTTCTCAAATCATTGTGCCCTAGATCCATGGCTTCTCTGCGCAAGCTCTGAGATGCGGTGATGCCCTTTTTGTCATTCATTCAGTTTGGATGCTGGGAAAGCTTCATAAGGTCTGTGTTTAACATATTTGCGGTGAAAATCAGCTTTTACAAGGTTTTGAGGACTGGGTATTGCTATTTTGACTCCTCTCCTTGTAAATTTGGAAAGTTGTATGTTCCTGGATTAGAAAGTAGCGAGCTTTTGTTTGGAAAGGCATTCTACTGAGCCGAAGAACGGTCATTTTCAAGTTATTATGTTTTTCCTTGTGGTCTATTGAGCATTTTGGAGATTTCTAGCTTTTGATTCCTTGAAGTCTTGAGGCTGTTGTGCTTCTTGTGTTTTGGTGGGTGGAATATGTCAATTACTTGGTGATTTGAGGCCGCATTTGGGTTGAGATGAATACTGTGGTACTTTGTAATAACTTTACATTTGAAGTTATTGTATGACATTTGAGGTGTGCTTTGAGTGAATTGGTGATTATAGCTCAGGAGAGGATAACATGATAATATTGTGGAGATACAGTTTGAGTGGACATTGAGATTGGTGGTTGCGTTTGTTGCATGATGGGTTGCGTTTGTTGCAAGCCCTCAGCCATTGACGACAGTAGGGAGAGTCCAAGGGAGCGATTATCAAATAAGGCTTCGTTGGACTCCCGTGGATCTAGGGCCACTTCGTCAAGGAGAGAGGATGGATATCGAGTGAAGGATAGATGCGATAGTACTGATGGTCGAACTGCATCCATGGATAAACAAGGAAATGGCTCTGTGCGTTTACAAGTTGATCATTTTGAAAGGAAGAGGGAGAAACCAGAGTATGTTATTGCACAGCATCCAGGAATTGGTAGCGTTCCAAAAGCCACAGAAGGGGAGCAGGTTGCAGCTGGGTGGCCTTCATGGTTGGCAGCGGTGGCTGGAGAGGCTATCAAGGGATGGTTGCCACGACGAGCAGATTCTTTTGAGAAGTTGGATAAAGTATGCTTCATTCTTGATCTGGCTATATCTCATTATATGCTTCCCTTTTTGCGGACATTAGAGCTCTTTATCCTTTTGTTTTTACCAACTTTGATGTGTAGCATAGTGATTTGTATGCTAATATTTTATGATTACTTTTTTCCCTCCAGTTTATTGCATAATATCACTTCTAAAACTTGTGTTAAATTTTAAATATGATGGGCTATTCCTATCTTTTACTTCTTTTTTTTTAGTTATCTAGACTTCCAAAATCTGCTTGCTGCCAGAGATGGCAATGTGCAAATGACAAACCAACTTCCTTGCTCCCTCATTGACTATTGATATCAAACTAGGATGATGAACTGATATCTAAGATAATTCTTTGCTTCTTGATCATATTGAGCTAAATTGCAACTTTTTGTACCCTCCTTAATGATCAAATGTTATTAAATGATTCTTTGCTCTTCATTCTAAGATTTTTTTTTTTCCGCCTATAATTCTTGAATAATATTGGCGATTGTGGGTCTAATGCTCATGAGGTTATCCTTAACTATTTACTGCTAAATTATGGTTTTACTGATGTCATCTGTTTCTAAATGTGAATTCACTACAATATCGTCTGTTTGTTAGTTTCAAATTTCAAATTATATATTTTTGATGGTATGATAAATTATGTTTGCCAGAAAGTTGAGGTCGAATACGGGGCTTGAGGTCCTTGTAGTAATTTGATTTTTCTTAGTAAAATTTTCTGCTTAATCACGGTTAGTTTTTGAAATTATTTTACGTTGTTGTTGTTTTAACTTGCTATTAATAATAAATTATGTCCTTTAAAGTGCAGATTGGTCAGGGAACTTATAGCAATGTTTATAGGGCTCGTGATCTTGAGCATAAGAAAATTGTTGCTTTGAAAAAAGTGAGGTTCGATAATCTTGAACCTGAGAGTGTTCGTTTCATGGCAAGGGAAATTCACATTCTTCGTAGGCTTGATCATCCAAATGTTATAAAACTGGAAGGTCTAGTTACATCAAGGATGTCTTGCAGCCTATACCTTGTTTTTGAGTACATGGAACATGACTTGGCTGGGCTTGCTTCACATCCTGGACTAAAGTTTACTGAAGCGCAGGTACTTTCAGAAGCTTCTTTCTTTTGCCTACTGCTTTGCAAGAAGGGTTGTCGTATATCTCAAGAAAATCTAACTGTCATTATTGTCTATTTTAATATGATGTTCAACCTAATTATTTATTTGATAGTAGTTATTTTAAGATAATAATTAAAGATGCTGATCCCTGTTCACTTCTAAGCTGAGGATCGATTCATTTAGTTTGGAAATTGGAAATGAAGCAACTGTGCGGTAAGAAATATTTCACAAAAGAGTAAGATTCCCTCTCGGGGCAGAACATAACTAAGATCAAGTATGAACAAGACCTAAAGAAACCTCCAAAGAGACTTACTTCTGTTATTGGAAGTTGTCAGGTCAAATGTTATATGCAGCAACTTCTACGTGGACTTGATCACTGCCATAGCTGTGGTGTACTGCACCGTGACATTAAGGGATCCAACCTTCTGATTGACAACAATGGAATCTTGAAGATTGCAGACTTTGGTTTGGCAAGCTTTTATAATCCCAATCAAATTCAGCCATTGACTAGTCGAGTTGTCACGCTCTGGTATCGTCCTCCAGAGCTTTTGCTTGGAGCAACTTACTATGGCGCTGCAGTTGATTTATGGAGTACAGGCTGCATACTTGCTGAGCTGTATGCTGGAAAGCCTATTATGCCAGGAAGAACTGAGGTGTGCATACTTAATTTTCACCATCTAATTTGAATGTGGCATTTTTATGCATTTTCTGTTTCCGTCACTTTTGCCAAAATGATTGTTATGCACTGTTTATTTGTTTACAATTTTTATTGTAAACTGCATGCGGTAGCTTTCAAAAATTATGAACTGTAGGCAAGCATAGGTTTGATTGGAACGAAAATATATGTAAAAATTCAGAAAGATTGGTGTTTTCTGCATAAAACATGTTCTTGAATTATCATGCGATTCAATCTGCTTGGTTTTACAAAGGAAATTATTACACACATTTTCTTCCTTGTAGGTTGAAACAGTTACATAAAATTTTTAAACTTTGTGGCTCGCCTTCTGAGGATTATTGGAGGAAATCAAAGCTACCTCATGCAACAATATTTAAGCCCCAACAGCCCTACAGGCGGTGTGTGTTGAGAAACATTTAAGGAGTTTCCTGCGCCTGCATTAGCACTTATGGAAACCCTTTTATCCATAGATCCTGCTGATCGTGGAACAGCAGCATCTGCTTTGAAGAGCGAGGTATGCATATTTTGATGAAAATAATATGGCATTTTTTTAATGGTGATGTCATTTCGCTTGTTGGTCCTGCTTATTGAAATGCTTCTCACGTGAAATGTAACTCTGTCAGTGCAAGTTGAGGGGGTCGTTTGTAGTGTTCAGAGCATCTGCTTTAACTTTTTTAAACATTGAGTTGTTAGAAAATTTGAATGTTTTTGGAATTTCTGTCAACACACAAGAATATAAATGCTCTGATATTATTTCTGGTTGATAATATTTATGCCAGTAATTAGTTCTCAAATATATTGTGTATTGCTGCAAGTACCTAAAAGGGTTGTCTCACATCTCCCCCGTCCTATGATAAAGCTTGTATGTAATTCATCTTACAATATTCACCACTTGTTAATTTATAGTTGATAATTGTTTACTATGATCAGCTCAGACAGAGTTCTTCAAAAGTAATTGTTTTATATTTCGTGATCAATTGTTTCCTTTCATACGTGTCTATGCATTATCAATGACTTCTTCCTTCTGGTGTTTTTGTGATTCATTTCTTCACCACAAAGCCCTTACCTTGTGATCCTTCAAGTTTGCCCAAGTATCCTCCGAGCAAGGAATTTGATGCCAAAGCACGGGATGAAGAAGCTAGAAGGTGTGTGCATAGCCTTGGTTTAAAAGTGAATATGTTATTTATGTTCAGCAACAACTTAGTGACATCTCTGCTATTATTTTCGTTGTTTTCCAGATTTAAAGCTTTTTGTTCCTCCTTTTTAAAATGAAACGTCTTTGGCTATCACTATTTCGGCAATTGCAAATTAAAGAAAAGTGAAGTTATCTTGAACTTTGATTGAACCTTAAAAAACAAACCAGAGAACTAAAGCTTGGCTGGTTCCAACAACTGCAACTACTATTCATTTTTCTTTTTGGGGGGTTTTCGCTCTTCCTTGTAATTATCTTGCTGAATGTGATATCATAACTTCGGAGCGCGAGTCCCATGTTGCCTGGCTGAGGCAACTCCCATTTTTAGTTAGGAGTATGTATTCCTTTACATCACTTGGCTTAATTGTGTAGAGCAGGCGTCTGTTTATTTCAATGTTTCATGGGACTCCTGATATGAACATCATTACGTTCAAAATTTTCAAAAATACTATTTCAAATGACGTTTTATCCCTTAGATCTTCTATGTTTAGTTTCTATTCTATATCCATGACTTGTCAATGAACTAGACTAAGATGCATTTGACTGGGTTTTTTCAAATTAATCATTAGTGTTTGTCTGGTCCCTGTACCTTGAAGGCTATACTGTGAGGTTGACTGTTGCA